TCTCCGCGGGCGAGCCCTTCAGCGGGAAGGAGGCGAACTCCCTTTTTGTAAGGCGAGTCCGGCCCTTTCCTGTTAGAGGGACGTCTAGTCTGTAGGGACAGACTTTATTCGAAGTGGGTTCCTCTTTGCGATTTCGCCCTCCTCTGTTTGATGGGTGATTTTACCCCTACAGCGGATTTTGTCTTGATTGACCTTCTTCTTTTCTTTTTGTTGCAGCGACCTTTTCCGATGAGGCTTTTCCAGAGGGTGTGGCCGTCGGCCACGTCGGGGCTACGAGCTACGCAGCACCTTCTCGGTTTCCCTCTTTGGCTCCAGTACCCGTGTTCACCGCTGATAAGCCGCATGGTCTGATACAGAGGGTCTCGGATGGTCATCATTTGACCCTACGCGAGCTGACAACCAATGCGGCGCTGACAGATGAGGCGAGGGCAGAGCTGCCGAAACCTCAATTTTTGTTTGGCGACTCCATGACCGACCCTTCCGCCCTGTTGCTCAAAGAGAGCCGGTGGTACCGCACGGTAGAGGGGACCCATTACTACCTCCCCAGCATGTCGAGAGGGTTTTCGATTGTTGAGCTGCGGTCCCTCGCGATCCCTCGGACGATGAACTGGGATTTGACCCCCACTCAGGACGGGGTCACTTGTGGCGTCTTTACGGGCTCTACGGCTGGGTATGGAGTGGAGAGCTCATGTAAGCGCGTGACGGGTCTGCGCCCTGGCTTAGTGTCTGTTGAACCGCCCGTAGGGGAGTCGACAGCGGTGGCGGAGACCTTCCATCACCGCTTCTTCCGAGTCGGTGGAAGCTTTCCCCCGAAGGACTTCAGGGCCCCGGGGTGGGTTTACTCTGCGCCAGGCAGCGACACGTGGTGGTCCAAGATCACCGACTATGTTTTGGCCGAGAATGCTGACCTCAAGGGCACAGAGCTGTATGTGGCCATCGAAGCCACTCGACATGGCCTGCGGATCAACGCTTCTCAATTCCATAGCATTCTGGAATTGTATTGTGCGGAAAGCGGCACATTTTTCACCCCCAACGGTGAACTTGGTATCACCCCCTTCGAGATGCACGACGTGTCAGGGCTACCTCTGGGAGACTTCCCTTATGAGGAATACGTCCCTGATCAAGATGAGATCGATCAGCTGTCGGACAATTCCCCTCTGGCGGTTGAAACTCTGTGGGAGTTACTCTGTCACTTCCACATATGCCTCAGTACCTTAGGGGCCTCGGATCATAAGGGGAAGAGGAAGAAGACCCCAGGGATTAGCCACAAGAATTGGGCTGATTATCTGTTCCCTGGGAACGATGTCAAGGGGAAGCCCGCTCTCCCGTTAGGCGCGTGCGACCAGCCCGAAGTGGAGGCGAGGACAGCTAAAGAAGGAAGCACCATTACTCTTGACCGCGACGAGGGCGGATTTAAGGCTGGTACGGTCCTTCACTCATTCCATCATCAGGCGAAGTTTCTCATTTCGGGGAAGGCGCTGCTCGCGGGGTACCTCATGTTATGGCTGAAGAGGTGCGTAATCCCCACTCACTCCTTCGAGGCTCTTCCTATAGAGGTCGTGTATCCGGCGGTTTGCCTGGCTCACGGGAAGTCTTATTCCCTGGTATCGGCGACGATAGCGTGCATCCATCGGGGGCTCCGTACTCTGACGAGCCAATTCTGCCGTGTGTCGGTCCTCGACGAGGGGGAAGGAGAAGTTATCAGAACCCCCAATCCTAGGGTGGGGCTACCGTATACCTACTTGGTGGCATGGTTCGTCTATCACTGCGAATGCTTGATGAGTGCCCCGGCAGCGCTTCAGGGAGACAAGTTTGTTGCAAGGACATCCCCGATACGAGGAAGACGCTCTCCCACTTCGGGCACTATAATTTTCGTCGATCTTTTCCTTACTTTAGCGGGGGTGGATATGGAGAATCTCTCAGGGATGCGCCGACGGCGGATCACCACACAGTCCTTACCCGTGGTGCCTTTCGCTGGTTGGTGGACATTCGACCGGGGTATCACGTTCTGAGAACAGGCTCCACATGCTATCTCGAGCCATACATCCCTTGCAGGTTTGCCCGCCAGTTTGGGTATGATCAATTGTATGTGGGCAACACCAACCCTCGCCTACACTTCGAAAGAGGACTGGTTGACGGCGCTCGGGGGTGGTTCTGGACCCATGCTGGAGGTACTCAAGCTCGTTTTGAGTTGCCTGCGAAGGACCGCGATTTACACCACACGCTCTTGTACTGTCGGTGGTATCGGGGTGCTAGTGCTGACCCCGCCAACTTCTGGTTCCAAAGCTCATGTCTGGCGGAACGCGATCGTCCCATCAGGGGCTCTCTCCGTTCTTCAAAGAGAAGGGGCCACCAAACCGCTAGGGAGTTGTTCTCGGAGGATCCAGTGGAGGACTGTGAGAGCTTCGATGCTGGTGGCGAATCTGAGGTTCCCGATGTTCGAGCTCCGGTTCAGAGTCCGACAATCGGACAAATGGGGGCACCTTTGCTATCCCCGAGTAGCTCGCTTCTCTCGAAGCGTCAGCGGGAGGCGGTGGCCGAGAGTTCCAGAGCGGAGGCGGCCAAGAAGGCTCGCTGTGATGGGACAGTCGGGACCATCCAAGTGGCAGGGGGTCGGGATGACGTTTCTCCGATAAGGATTCCTGGAGTGGCTCCGTCTGGGTCTGGAGTGGCTCCGTCTGGGTCTGGAGCCGTGTCGCCTGCCTCACCTGCCGCATCGGGGGCAGTTCAGGAGACTCCGAAGGACGTTCCTCTGCCGTCCGACGTGGGGTCACCATCGGGAGTTCCAACGGCTTCTTTACCCGCATCACGAGGTAGTCTTTGCAACAGTACCCTTGATTGCAATGTTGCTCTTGCACCTTTTGATATCGGTAATGGATCTATGCAGGTGCGGTTGAGAAAGTGATCTCCATTCCTTCCGACGAAGAGGAAGAAGCTGGAGATGATGAGCGGCTTACGGGCTTAGGTAAGTATAGACTTTAGCATTACTCGTTCTTTCATGCTTCACCATAAATAGGGTACCTTACGAGGGGTCTCCGTTAACTCTCTTGGTGCATTTGTAGCCGATCCTGCCCGCGAAATCGCCGGCAAAGAGGGTCCTTCCTCTTGGGCGAATCGCTCGTCTAGGGAGACGGGCGAATCTGAGGAGGATGACGACGACGCCTCAATACACGAGGCCCTGTCGAGTGAGGAAGAGGATTTGACTCATGAAGATGCGACTGGTCAAATAGGGGGATCCCCTGCTCCTGCGGCGGTGTCTGCTGAGGATCGTTCCTCAGTGCGAGAGTCACCGCTTCAAAGAGAGGTTTCTGCTCAGCAAGTGACCACCTCCCTGTCGGGGGTCGCCGTTGACGCCGTGATTGCTGTTCCGAGGGCATCATTGGTCACACCGGCCCTAGCGACGCCAATTACTACTTCCACAGTTATGGCCAGCGGTGCTTCAACCGCGGTTCCATCTATGATGGAAGAGGCTGCCCTCTCTCCCTTGGAGCGTGAGCGAAGAAAGAGTGCGGCACGATCCGTGGCTGAATTCCATGACACTATGGCTGCCTGCATCAGGCTCGCGCTGGAAGAGAGTTGTCCTTTCGAGAGCTTCGAAGAGGATATCGACTACATCATAGGCTTCTTAATCAAGAGGCTAAAGCATTCTGGGGCGCAGCCTTATTTCCAGCGTAAGGAGGCGGTGAAAGAAGCCATCCAGCAGTTGCTTGCTCTTCGCGCGAAGAGTTCCACTCTTGTGGATCTTGCATCCGGCGAAGTCCGAGCGGTGGTGCAAGAGCGGGATCGCCGTCTGAATGAAACTATGTCACTAGAGGCGAGATTGTCGGAGGAGCTGGAGCAGGCCAAAGCTGAGAATGAGATATCTTTTTATACTATAACTTGATAAATTGTGCACTTGCAATTTTGGTACATACTTATGTCGCACCATGTCCCATCTTGATGTCACCTCTACAAATGTCATAAATTATTTTTTGAAGTTGTTTCTCTCGAAGAAGATCTTGAGGCTTGCATGAGCCATGGACAATATTTATTATCCTTGCAATATGTTCAAAGAACTCATTAAGTGAGTCATGCTTCTTTGCAACTCCTACGAGTATCAATTGAAGTTGATGAGCAACACAATGAACATAGAAAGCCAATTCTGTTGCTATAAATGAATAATGGATGGTTTTTATGGAAAGATACCATTTATATGGTTGGATTCCACAGTTGAAAATTAAAATGTGTTTAATTAGTAATATGTGAGTTTTAGTCTCACATTGACTAATTGAATGTATTTTAGTTTGTTTAAATTAACATACGTGTTATGTATGATACAATAAAGGCGTTAGAATTGTATGCTTGTGTTGGTATATAAGTAAGCGGGTATGTGCGTGTGGGTTTGTGTGCACTGTTCGCTCGTGTGATTCAGCGTGTGCACTAGTGCGTGCTCCTTTGGCATGTGTTGTGTTTTAACCAGCCTGAACCCATTTCATATGTTACCAACGTTACAAGGTTTGAATGTAGTTATTGTAAATGTTGCAGTGACTAGCATTCAAAGCTTTGTCTAACCCTTTTAGCTCACATGAACCTTATAAAAAGGCTTCTTTTGTATATTTTAAAATACACAGAAAAATAAATAAATTCTCCTCTTCTCTTCTTTTGCAATTCTATAAGCTGTTAGTATTGACGATTCTAGCGAACTGAAGTTGTAGTCGAGGTGTTCAACAGAAGAGAGCCAGTCCTCTGTTTAGAGGGTAATTTGGTATTTATGTAAAGTATCTCAAACTTTAAGTTAAGTTGTAATGGTGTTCTTAACTCTCTGTCTTTTTCATTCATTCTTTTGTGGTTTGTTCTGATTATTTTTGGATCTATTTTTGTTCTTATTTTTCCCAAGAGATTCATGCTTTTCTAATATCAGTGCCTTATGACCATTGAATTCTCTTTGCATATTGCTACCTCCATCATATCCTAGTCCTCACACATTTGACAATCTCAATCCATGTGGCAAAAAATTGGACTCAATGGCTACTTTTAATGTCAAATGTAACATGGACAAGTGTAATAAAACCCTCAACGATACTTCCACTTTTGTCCACATAACGTAAAACAATAGCCATTTGTTGTTTAGTTGATACATCACAAGACTCATCAACTAACAAAGCAAACAAATCATCATTAATATCTTCAATGATAGCGTTTGTTGTCAAATAGGCACGAGGATTGATAACATCTTTCTGAATCATTGGTGAACTCAATTTATTATTTTCTCGAGCATTTGCCAACACAACTTTATTAATATATTCTCTACACATAGCCGTATATTTTAGAAGTTCAAGAAGCCATCCTTTGTTCAAGGATTTTTTTTGATTCATCGTGGCCATGAAAAGAGCTTCCTTGACATAAAAGAAACATGACAGCTCTAACCTGTTTTCGTCAAAAGTTGCCTTCATCATTGATTTCATTAAAACTTCAAACGTTACAAATGAATTCAAATAACGAAAATAAAAATTACAACTTTCTTGAAAATAAACACAAGATCCGTTTATCGTCTCTTGCTTGCGTGGGTCTTTAGCCTGTGACGGGGACGTCGATATCCGTGGACTACCTGACAATCAGATCTGATCCAGAAAAATCGGGCAGAGCTTCGTCGATCCGCGAGGAGATCTAGAAACTTGAAGCGTCTATCTCGGATAAAGCGAGATATTTGCTCTTCTTAGGATTACCGACGAGGGGTAATGCTAAGGAACGGATGCGGGTGATGTGGATCTGATGAAGAACTCCCTTGTGTTGCAGTGCTCGACCACTCTTCATTGCAGCAGGGCTTCGCCAATTTCTCTCCAAAACTCCAGATCCTCAAAAAGTGAGGCCTAAGGTTCCTATTTATAGGCATGAGGGCACATAGGGCGTTGGGACACCCCTGGGGTGTCTAGGCAAAGCCGAGACACCCCTGGGGTGTCTCGGCTTTGCCTAGACACCCCTGGGGTGTTTCGACTTTCCCGAGACACCCCGGGTGTCCCAGTTCAGCCTGAGACGCTCCGTTGCGTATGTTTGATTGTTTCCGCCGTAAATTCTTCGTCCGAACTCGGATTTTAGTGATTCCAAGTGCGTTGGAAGCTTGACGAAGAGTTCTATCCGCTCCGATGGTTGGATTATCTGTAGAGTGAACGAGATATGAAGGGCGTTGTTCTTTTTGTGAACATCGCAGGGTTCCCGATTGGCCCGTGCCTTCGTTATTCTGAAATTCTATCAGCTCACGTAGTTCGTCGATTCACTTCAATCGTTCATCGATGTCAATCGAACTCCTGTGGATCGGATAGTGACGTTCATCGTCGCTCTTTAACACTGAGCCGTTCGTGGAGACCCATAGGTAATTTTCGATGCCTACATAACCGTTGTTCTCAAGCAGAGGCGATAGTCAATTTTCTCTTGTTGAGAAGCTTTACATATGTTAATATCTATGTGTTGCTTCCGGTTCATGAGATCTTAACAAGTTTTGTGCATGAACACTATTGTGTTCTCCGACATGTTTTTCCAACCCTCCTTCCTTTTCCAATTATGGTACCGTGCACCAACAAAATGATCACCACTTCCCTTTTGATGCGGTGGTTTAAACAAATAACAATACAAACAGAAACAAGCATCTTTGCTCTCACTATATTCCAACCAACTTTCTCACTCTATGAACCATTCTTTGCAAAAATGTCGTTCTCTAACAAAAAAGACACGAGTATGATAGTTTGTAAGTATATGTTGGCCAGGTCCCTTGAGCAAATATGCTCTTTGAATATTCTCCAATTGCTTAGAATCTATAGCAATCAAATGAACACTTGGTGTTAGGCTGGGATCCACCACAAGTTCATGCCCTCTTCATCTAGGTTTTTCACCAATTGTGAAGGTAGTGGTGGCAGCGGCGGCGGCGGGGTGATGACGGACGAGAGTTGCCATCACCATCGTTGGTGGAAGATATTTGAGCTCTTTTGAGAAATCTTTCCATGATTGAGTTATCCTCAACTAGACCTGTCCATCCAGGTCGGCCCGGGCCGGGTAAAAACGTAGCCCGG